CTAGGTATTTTATTGTCACTATGGTAAATGGTATTGAGTGTTTGATTTGAACCTCTGCTTCACTGTTATTGGCATATAGAAAAGCTGCTGTTTTGTGTACACAGATTTTGCAACCTGAGGCTTTGCTGAATTTATTGATTCCAGGAGTCTCATAGTGGAGTTGTCGGGGTTTCCAAATATAAGATCAGATTGTCTGCAAAAAGCAATAGTTTGACCTCCTCTTTCCTGATTTGGATACCTTTTATTCATTTCTCTTGCCTGATTGCTCTGGTTAAGACTCTCAGCACTAAGTTGAATAGAATTGGTGACAATGGGCAACCTTGTCTTGGTCTATTTCTTAGCGGGAATGCTTTCAGCTTTTCTCATTCAGTTTGATGTTGCCTATGGTTTTTTCATATACAATTGCTTTTATAATTTTGATATATATTTCCTCTATTCCTAGTTTGTTGAGGGTTTTTTTTCATGACAGGTGTGGAATTTTTTAAAATGCTTTTTCTGCATCTATTGAGATGATCATATATATAGTCTTTGTTTTTGCTCCTGTTGATATGGTGAATCACATATATTGATTTACATATGTTGACCCATCCTTGCATCCCTGGACTGAAGCCTACTTGGTCGGAGTGAATTTTTTTTTTTTTGATGTGCTGTTGCACTTGGTTTGCTAGTATTTTATTGAAGATATTTGCATCTATATTCATATGGGATGTTGATCTGTAGTTTTATTTTTTCGTTGTGTCCTTTCATAGCTTTGTAAAATGAGTCAGGCGATTGAATTCTCTCCTTCTTGATGTTATGGAATAATTTCTGCAGTATAGGTCCCAGCTCTGCTTTGAAGGCCTGGTAAAGTTTAACATTAGACTGTTAACTTATGATCTTTATGTCTTTTTTTATTTGATCTTTTTTGGTTTTATTTTTGGTGTAGCACTTCGTGAGTATTAATATGTATAGATTCACATACCCATTACCACAATCAAATGCAGACAGTTCAGTCACCCCAAAAACTTATGCTCCCCTTGGTGGTAGTTTTGAATGTTAACAAACAAGAGAAGTGAGAGGTATTGTGACCCAGAATGAGGGGAAGACAGTAAGTGTTTGGTAGAGGAAACCCATAAACATTCAGGTAGTTTGACAGTATAGAGTCATTAGAAGCCAAGAATTGAAAGTATAAAGAGAAGAAATAATTGAGCTGAGTCTTAGACAGTTTGGAAGACAGAGCATAGCAATATAAACAAGAGCTTGCATTAGGAAGAAGTAAAGTTGCGTTTACTTCTGAAACAGTTGGGAAGGAGGTAAGGGAGGGTGACGTTGCTGTTAGGTTGGAACTTGGAGACAAAGAAAATTGAGGTGTTCATACTTTTTTCTCCATGAAGTAAAAGGCTAGTTATTCTCTTGTGAATAAATAAGTAAGGGAAAAATTGGATCTTTATCAACAATTAAGGGAGAGGAAAGGGAGTGATAAAATGACTGGAACAATTAGGGAAGAGAGGAGAGTTGCCAGATTTAAGAAAAAAAAAAAAAAACTTGCCCAGTTACATTTGAATGACATATTAACAACACATATTTTATTAGTGTATGCCCCAAAGATTTGCACTGTATTTTATACAGCAACCCTTAAAGAGAGACACGAAAGCATGCATAAAGAACAGCAAAACTATTTTGAAATCAGAAATTGGGAACAGAGCAACTTTAACATTCACTGGGCCTCAGATGGTAACCTCTGATTTCTCAATGTGTTGAGAAGGAAGGTAGGAACACTGGGTTTGGCTTCCAGGCAGCGGCGGAAAGGGAATTGGGCTGGCAGCCAGGAGATGGCTTAAGGATGCAATTCTTAGGACCTCTCTTGAGAGCAGTGGAAAGAGACATGTGTGGGAACTAGAGACTTGGGGTTGGTAAGGAAGTCATTGCTGGAATCAGCTTTGCCTACTTTCTAATTTTGTCTGAGTGGGTCATCTACATTTTATATTTCATAGACGTGTGCTAAAAATGAATATTACTTAATCATTATATACAAATATGAAATTTGAACTCTTTAAAACATTGAATCAATATTGAACATTGTCCTCACTGATGGCTTCCCAAGAAAAGCACTGATTTCACCAAGGACATTCTTTGACCTGTTGAAGGTTCATTGTGGTGGTTGAGGTAGTGGTTAAGAGTCTGCAGCCTGCCTATGGGCATGGCTTTAACATGTCTGGAACACAGTCTCTCTGTTTATAAAATTAAGGTAACAATATTATTTAATTTGTCAGGTTATTGTAAGGATTAAAGGAGTTAATATGCACTGTGGGAAGCTAAGGCAGGTGGATCACTTGAGCCCAGGAGTTTGAGACCAGCCTGAGCAAGAGTGAGACATTCCCACACCCCCAACATACCCTTGTCTCTATTGAAGATTAAAAAAAAAAAAAAACAAACTAGGTGGGCATTATGGCATGCACCTGTAGTCCCAGTTACTCCAGAGGCTGAGACAAGAGGATCACCTGAGACCAGGAGTTTGAGGTTGCTGTGAGCTATGACTCCATGGCACTTTACCTTGGTGCAACAAAGTGAGACTCTGTCTCAAAACAAACAAACAAAAAAGAATATGTCTAACCCTTAGAATCTAGTGCACAAATACTAAGAATACAACCTTACCTTAGATGTCATAGGCAGGCAATGTGAGGTTTTAGAAACCATTCATTAAAAGCCAGATGTGGTGGCTCATGCCTACAATCTCAGTGACTCAGGAGGCTGAACTGAGACGATCCCTTGAGCCCCGAAGTTTGAGATCAGCCTGGGAAACATAGGGAGACTGTCTCTTAAAAAATGAAAAAATTAGCCAAGTCAGGTGGTGCACTGTGACTGTAGTCCCAGGTACTGTGGAGGCTAAAGCAGGAGGATCACTTGAGCCCAAGAGTTTGAGGCTGGAGCAAGCTATGATTTGGCTACTGCACTGCAGCTGGCATAACAGAGCTAGACCTTGTCTCTTAAAAACAAAAACAGAACAAAAATGTGCATTTATATATATATATTATATATATACTTTGCATATACAGAAAATGAATGGTTTAAAAAGGTCATGCATTAGGTGATATATATACACACACGTATGTATATGTATCAGTATACATATATATAGTTGACACATACTAATTTTTTTTTTTTTTTGAGACAGAGCCTCAAGCTGTCGCCCTAGGTAGAGTGCTGTGGTGTGACAGCTCACAGCAACCTGAAACTCCTGGGCTTAAGCTATTCTTTTGCCTCAGCCTCCCAAGTAGCTGAGACCACAGGCATCCCCCACAACGCCCAGCTATTTTTCATTTTTTCAGTTGCAGTTGTCATTGTTGTTTAGTAGACCCCAGCTGGGCTCACACCCACCAGCTTCAGTGTATATGGCTGGCCCCCTACTCACTGAGCCCGGGCATGGAGCCACACGTAGACAAATTTAAAACTTTCTATCTGGAGGTCTGCCTCCCTTCAGGAACGTACACTTCCCGTAACTGTTCACACCTGCTGGTGTTTGGGCTAGGAGACAGGGCATTTGCAATATTTCAGTTTGGAACACAGCTCTACCACTCACTAGGTGGGACATGTACAAGTCACTTAAAGCTGTCTGAGCCGCTATATTATGGGCCACAATACTTGCTTGCTTCACAGAGCAGTATTGTTAGAAGTAATTTATCACACATTTGATGTAGAAGGGGTGTGAAATTCACACTCATTTCTTTCCCTTTACAGAGTAATGAGTGTGTGGGGATGGGGGTGGAGGTGGTGTTACCAGGCCCCCACTTCTGTTATACTGAGTAGACACGGGACATCTTTCCTTCTAAGTGACATAACTCCTCAGACGCAGTCAGGGTCTATTCTGAAGTCTAGAGAACTGTTATCTTAGTGTCCACATTGCATGCACATACTGTTGTTGAATTTGTGGGTATGCTGAATTAACTGTCACTTAATTTTTTTTTTTTTTTTTGCAAACTCACAAAATCCCAAGCCAGGAGCCTGTTGTTTATTCATTCAGCCTCCTTCTGAGTCATTTCAGGTACAGGGTGTGTCCTGAAACTGCGCAGCGGAGGAAGTTTTGACTTCACATCTGCCGGGATGGTGAAGGCAGAGGGGCCAGGGGACTGGGTGGAAACTTGTGTAACAGTAGGCAGCGGCAGAAGTGTGCCTGAGCTTGTCGCTCAGCTAGATCTGTCCAAGGCCACCTCTCACCCTTACGTTCGTAAGTAGCATCAAGGCAAAACGAAAGGATGGTCGAGGGGCAGTAATGAAATCTGGGGGCCTCTGAGTTGCCTCCGAAGAAGAATGTGAGAGAGGGTCGCTCACTACAGCTGGGCAGGGCTGGGCAGGACGGTTCTTCCCCTTTGGAAATTCCTGAGCTGCCCGAGCTCTTTAAATCTCTCGGGCCCCTCAGCAGCCCACCTCCTCAAATGTTTTACCATTGGCCAGAATCTGGGACAAACGGCCTGACTTAGCGTCCAGATGAGTGAGGGAAAGCCCCGGGCCAGCCCGAGGCTGGCCCGTTTCACTGCCCCCGAAACCTCTAAGTTTTGCAGCGGCACCTCGGCAGCCGCGGGAGAGAGAGATAGAGAGTATAGGAATCTCCCAGTTTATTCTCCTTCCCGGGCCACTCTCCTCCTCCCTACCTCTCGCAGCCCCTTCCCCGTCCTTTCCTTCTCAGAGCGCGGCCGAGACTCGCTGGGCCACGACTCCAGTTTTCCCTGCCCGCTGCAAGTGGCCGGGGGTGGTGGCGGGGAGGGGGGCGCTTGGCCACAGATCTGAGCTCGGATCCTCCCGAGTCTGCGGGGGTGAGAAACCCGAGAGGTGTGCTACGAGACGCCGGGTCGTTCTCTGCCCCCCAAGACTTTTTGGGAGAAGTTTCCAAGCGTTCTCCACCTCCTCTTTTGCAGAACTCCGGAGAATCCCCTCCGCTGCCCAGCAGCAGAGGATAGCGGGGCCAGAGCAGTGATTTATACATTAGAATCCAGGGGTTACCAAGCTCCGCCCCTTCTGTTTTTTTCTGCCCCAGATCTTTTCTGGACTGTGCTTCTCAGCAGCTCAGATCCGGGAGCCCCCCAGTCGCTGGCGGAGGGCGTGTAGGTTAAGGCGTTAACCCCTCCCAGTCTCTTCCTAAAGAGCCACCCAGCCTTGGCGCCGCGCTAGGCGACTTCACTGGGCTGGCAGAAGCCGGCAGCGGGGATCGGGACAGGCCATTGGAGTGCACTACTGCGGAGGGAGGGGACCCCGACTCCAGTAAGTTTGCGAGAGCCCGAAACAGTCAGTCGCGGGCAGCAGCAAGATGCGGAGCGCGCGGTGCAGAGCCGGAGCTCTCCGAACGCAACTTCGCCCTGCCTGAGCGAGGTAGGGGGCTGCGGGCGGCCGCGCGGCCGGGGGGAGCCCCGCTGCGGGAGGGCTTAAGTGCTAGAAACGAATTTTTAAATTGAACGAAGCATACAAAAACTTGGAAAGCATCCATCTCTGGGCTCCGAAAACTCGCCTTTTTGGGCCAGTAAGGAACCCCACTGGATGGGATTGTTCTTGGGCGCTGGTGATTCATGAAGTTTGGAAAAGGGTTAGTTCCCAGTTGTAGAACCGACCGGGGCGGGAGTGTGGGCAGTGGGAGCTGCGGTCCGAGGAGAGGAAGGGAAGGCGCTTATTTTTGGAAATCCTATAGACAAAGAATATGGGGGTGGGGGCAAGAGCTTAAACTTGCACTGCCTGTGAGCAGAGTGTAGAATCAGCGTAAGGAAATGCCGAGCCTCTTGGTGTGAGCAGCCTCGGCTGCTGGGGAATTACTGGAATTCCCCCCACCTCATTATCTCATTTTTCTCACATTGCTGCACTGTGTTGAAACTTTAAAACAGCTTAAAAGTACACTTCTGCTGACCAGTGCCGTGTGCTATCCTTTTCTAACTTTCTAGTTCTATGAGAGGAGGCGTCTGTTGGGGGTGGCAGTAAATGAAACTGCCCGCGTAAGTGTAGCTGTGCACCAGAGGTCCGTGTATGTGAGTTTCTGGAGAGTAGTTTTGCACTGGAAATTAGAAATGTCGTGGCACGCATTGTTACCATCAGCAGTTGACTTCTCTATTTTGCGCATGTGTTCTGGCTAAACTAAAAACATACATGCAATCAACTAGTGTACGAAACTTCTAGGATTTGCTGCAATCTCTTATGGATAGTTTTCACTTAATACCTTTAAATCGACTTGCACTGGCTTTAGAAAAAAACAAAAAGAAGAAGAAAGAAAAGGCAGTTGCTTCACCGAGGCGCTAAGCTTTCCTGTTTACCGCGAGGCGGGGCGGGCCTGGCGGCCCACACCTCACTGCAGCCTCGGACCCTGAGCACATCTGCTCCGACAGAGTTATTAATAGAGCCACGAAATGACTTGCGCTGTCTAATAATCTATGTGCAAACCTGATGTCTTACGTGGTGATTAGGAGGTGGTGCTTCTGTCTTTGAGCTGGGGGCAGTGGGGCCATAGAAGCGCCTACCGCCCTCAGATTGGCAGTTGGGTCTTTTCAGAAGCCAGACGGAGGGCTGGTGGTGAGAGCGCCCGCTGAGGTGGTGACTGCTTCAGAGAATCTCCCTGCTGGAAATCGGAGTGGGGGTGATGGAGGCGGGTAGGTGTGGAGTTAAGGACAAGAGGGCCCGAGTGGAGTTAAAATGGGGCGTTTTTTAAAGTTTTCCCATTTCCCTTGGAATGAATGTGACCCTACGGAGAATTTTCATACTGTCCAGTTGGAATTTTGCATTTGGATAGTTTTTTGCTTTTTCTCTCACTTCCTCCTCTTCCTTTTTCTGCAAGAAATGATATATATATATTTAATTCCTCTTCCTGAGCTCTTCCCAAGTTTTCCTAAAACAGTCAACAGCAACAAAACTGGAGCAATGCCTTAGCTAGAATGAATTATGCCAGTGTGCTGCGGCTTTCTCTCTGACCCTCTCTTTTCTGTGACTCGTTTAAGGCTGCAGTTTCCGAGGCCCTCTCCAGCTACACACAAAAACCTGGATCTCTCACCGCACCCCCGCTGCAGCCAGTGAGGGCTCGCTGGGCATCGCCCTCTAGCGTTCGTCTGGAGAAGCGCCACCCCCGGGTCCCTGGGGACACAGTGCAGCACCATGGGGTCCACCGGGGTCAAGCCCCAGCGCAGCTCTGTCTCCGATTATGTCAACTATGATATTATCGTCAAGCATTACAACTACACGGGAAAGCTGAACATCAGCGTGGACAAGGAGAACGGCATTAAACCCACCTCAGTGGTGTTCATTCTCATCTGCTGCTTCATCATCCTGGAGAACATCTTTGTCTTGCTGACCATTTGGAAAACCAAGAAGTTCCACAGACCCATGTACTATTTTATTGGCAACCTGGCCCTGTCAGACCTGTTGGCAGGAGTGGCCTACACAGCCAACCTGCTCTTGTCTGGGGCGATCACCTACAAGCTCACCCCCGCGCAGTGGTTTCTGCGGGAAGGGAGTATGTTTGTAGCGCTGTCCGCGTCGGTGTTCAGCCTCCTAGCCATCGCCATTGAGCGCTACATCACTATGCTCAAGATGAAACTCCACAACGGCAGCAACAGCTTCCGCTCCTTTCTGCTGATCAGCGGCTGCTGGGTCATCTCGCTCATCCTGGGCGGCCTGCCCATCATGGGCTGGAACTGCATCGGCGCGCTGCCCAGCTGCTCCACTGTGCTGCCGCTCTACCACAAGCACTATATCCTCTGCTGCACCACGGTCTTCACCCTGCTCCTGCTCTCCATCGTCATTCTGTACTGCAGGATCTACTCCCTGGTCAGGACTCGGAGCCGCCGTCTGACCTTCCGCAAGAACATTTCCAAGGCCAGCCGCAGCTCCGAGAAGTCGCTGGCGCTGCTCAAGACGGTGATTATCGTCCTGAGCGTCTTCATCGCCTGCTGGGCGCCCCTCTTCATCCTGCTCCTGCTGGACGTGGGGTGCAAGGTGAAGACCTGTGAGATCCTCTTCAAGGCGGAGTACTTCCTGGTGCTGGCGGTGCTCAACTCGGGCACCAACCCCATCATCTACACTCTGACCAACAAGGAGATGCGCAGGGCCTTCATCCGGATCATGTCCTGCTGCAAGTGCCCCAGCGGGGACTCCTCGGGCAAATTCAAGAGACCCATTATCGCAGGCATGGAATTCAGCCGCAGTAAATCGGACAACTCATCCCATCCCCAGAAAGACGATGGGGAGAACCCAGAGACCATCATGTCTTCTGGAAACGTCAACTCTTCCTCCTAAGAGTGGAAGCTGCCCACCCACTGGAAGGCTCTTAACATGGCCACCCACCACCCCAGTGTTTGGAAAGAAGAATCTCTGGGCTTCCACGGCTGCCAGGGAGGAGCGGGCAGAGGGAGGAAGCGGGAGAGTACGAACAGCCTGGTGGTGCCGGGTGTTGGTGGGTAGAGTTAGTTCCTGTGAACAATGTGCTGGGAAGGGTGGAGAGCAGGTCCTGGCCTGGAGTCTATTTCCTCTCCCCCTTGAAGCTTTGATTTTGCACTGAGCCAAAGGTCTAGCATTGTCAAGCTCCTCAAGGGTTCTTTTGGCCCCTCCTCAAAGACTAATATCCCCATGTGAAAGCGTCTCTTTGTCTGGGCTTTGAGGAGAAGATGTTTTCTTTCACTTTAATTTCAAACCCAAGTGAGCGCAGCGTGCACTTCTGCTTCTCGGGAGATGCTTTGGGCATCCCGTCCACCCTCCCCTTCACTCCCCTTCTCAAAATTCTTTGACTTTATATTGTAACTACCTGGCATCCATCAGACCTGAAATGGTGGCATGGTCCATTTCCCCATCGTCTGTAGCAGGCAGGCTCTGTGGAGCAGGCAGGCGGTGAGGACATGGAAGTGTAAAGCGATTTTCATTTGCTGAGGCCAAAGTTTCCATGTAAGGCGGATCAGGCTTTTGAATTTGGTGGAAGACACTTTTATTTTTTGAAAAACACCTTTTCAATGAAATGTGTTGCAGTTTCATAGTCACCGTGACCGAGAGCTGGTGTAGGAAGGCCACTTTATTCCTGGGATACTAGCCAGGATCCTTAGGGTCATAGGAGAAACAGGCGCGCAAAACCAGGTGAAAACTGACGGGGGTTAACTGTTGTAAACCAAGGGAAAATTCTTAATGAATTAGTCTAACAAATGCAACATCTGTCTTTGGCACTTTTGTTGATGTGTATTTCGGAGTGTTGTGTGATTTATTTTGAGCAACAGGATGGTTGTATTTTGTTGTATCAAAAGTACTTTTCCTGATTTTTGAATGTATTTGTTTCAGTGGAGATCATTTTAATGGACTTTTTTCCTAACCTGTGTGTTAACACCATTGAATGTGTATTTCTTAAGAAAATTACCACCCTCTTGTGCCCTTAAAAGCATTACTTTAACTGATAGGGAACATCAGAAGTTTTTCAGTTCAGCTGTTTATTAGATAGTAATTGAAGAAGTGTATAAATATTACAAAGAATAAAAATATATGACTGTCTCTTTAGCATGGTTTTCAGTGCAATTAAACCAAGAAATGTCCTTTTTAAAAAAAAATGGTATTTAATAGGTTTCTGACTTGTGGGTCGTTTTGCACATAGCTTTATCAACTTTTAAACATTAATAAATTGATTTTTTTAAAGATACCTTTGTGAAGAGCATTTTTAAAAATAGTGATGGAGGCTTTCTACTTGACCTTGTAGCTCTTTGGGCTCAAAGTTAGGGGCAAATTTCTCTCATTCTTCAAAGGGTTTTTACCTTGATTAACTAGGGTGTGAAATAAATGTGGTTTGTTTAGAAACCACTCTTTTTCAGGAAGAGAAACTTCAACAAGTCAACATCGAAGGGTAGTAAAGAATGAGATGAAAACCACCAACATTCTGAGTACCACTTTGGCGAGTAAATGTAACTGAGTTTTAAATTGTATTCAAGTTGAACTCAATGAAGTACAACAGTTCCGTCTGAAAACATGGATTTTTAAAGAAATAATACACACTCATGTGGTTGTAAATATAATTTAAATTATGAGACTCATTGATAACTTCAAGTTATCATGCATTCTTGACCTTCCACCAACATACTAGGCAAGTAGGGATATGAATATGGAAGATTATATTAAATCACTTTATTTTTTCAGGACAGTGCCTTGGCTTTGAGTCTATCTGCTGAAGCATATACAGGTATATAGTTTCAATGAAGTTGTTAGTTGTAGAATATGAGCTGAGTTTTTATCTAAAAACTTTCAATTCATAGTGTCTGAAAGCTTTTGCATTTCCTGGTCATTAATTTATCCAACTACAAAATGAATGCAAGGTGCTTTGAAAGCATCCCAGGATTACTGAGTGTAATAGTTAACTCTTGTTTTGATATTATTGCCATCTTTGGGGGGATTAAAATATTTTGGTGCGTTGGCTCCATAGCCCTATTGTTACTTTCACAATTTGTGCTTTCAAACGCCATTGAATAGGCACAGGACACAGTTGGGACACGAAGATAAACCTCCTCTACCACAGTGGCTGTCATTTCTGGGTAAGGTTAACTGTGGGAAACAGAAGTGTGTTCACTAAGGAAACCTTAGGTCACAACCTCCAGTTTCCTGAGGGAAATGCCAAAAATGCTGCACAGACAAAAGGCTGGGAACAAACTGGAATGTCTCTGTCCATCTGTCTGCTGAGGCGGAAGGAATGATTTCATGTTCCACTCACTTCCTTGGGCTTTCAGTACAGAGCCAGGCATAATGGAAAAGTGTGTCCATTCTGTGTTTCTGTGGCAGATAAAATGTTCATACTCTTAGACTTATCTGTATAAGCAGAGCGGTGACTCATGAGTGGGGGAACATGGGAGAGGGTGGCCTTGGGAAATGGGGAGCCCACTGGTGATGGGACAGACTCACTTGCCCCTGGTGAGCACCAGTGATTAGATGGGCTTTCTTCCTAGAAGCTCCCAGCGGTGCATTATAAGAAAGCTGGGTAGTCACCGACTGTGCTGTTCTTGGGCAGATGTATGTCAGGGCACCAAGTCTGGCTCAGAAACCAAGCCTTACAATGAAGGAATCCTTGGTTGTACCCAACATGAATGTCTGGTTTTAATTCAATATATTCTAGAAAGTGAGGATGAGAAAAAAAATCTCACTCACTATGTTCACACAAAAACATATGTAAGGTTTTGATTTTAAAATGTGGTATTTTTTAGGAGGAGTAAAACAGACAACGTAGATAATACTTCTTATATTCTTATAAAAATTTCAGTTGGCTCACAATAGTCTGGAAAGTTATGAAATGACATCACAGAACACTTTAATACTCACCAATATTAAATGTCCTTACAACATTATAGAACATGCAGATAAAAATCTTACATAAAACAAACTCTTGCATTTAAGTCTCCTTATAAGGAGAAAAATTTAATTCTTTAATAAAAGCCAATCTAGTGATATTATTAGAAATTTAGAAGTTAATAGTAATAGAGATTTTGGATTGATATTCATTAGATATTGGATTCTATTTCCTGCAGACAGATATCAACATTTCAATTGTAAGTGTATATGGCATCTAAAGCCTTATTATAAAGATTTTAATTTTAATTCTTTTATAGTTGGATTAATTTCTGCCGTGGACACTCCCTATGTTAAAGTTATTACCAGTGTACTTCTAACCTAGATTGTCTCTGTCAATACTTCCTTGAGATCTGTCACTTTCTCTAAACAACCATGACAGTAGCTCTGTTTGGGAGCCACTACTCTGAAGGAACAACTTCACAAATAATACTAAACTCTACTGGGGAAATTCTGTAAGGTGAGAACTTGAACTTCAAGTAATTCTGAATATTAGCAATCCTATTTTCGGTTGCAAAGCTTGAGATAGTACAGGAGTGATGCATTAAAAATACAGAATATCTAACCTATGAAAGTATTAAAGATTTGACCTTATAAATATTACTGGTTTAAAAATTAATCTTTCATTAGGAACCATTATTCACTATACAGTGTTTACTGTATTTGTAATAAGTTAGTGGAACCTCTGTATAATGTTCAGTTATTCTTTTTTTTATGTGACTTGTTCCCTACTTCTCAGCTGGAAAGGTGTCGTATCCTAAAGATGCCTGACTCATTAGATCAAACTAGACTTGATTTCATTTATTTCCAGACTAGATTTGTCTGTATATTCTCTAAATAGGTATGAACACCTTGAGGGAGGAATCACAAAGACCCCAAAGAAACTTTTTTTTAAGTTGTTCTTTCCCCATGGACACAGGACATTCTCCATGATGAGAAATCGTAGTAAAGTCCATCATTTCCTTCAACCTTCCTTCTCGCTCTCTTGATTTGTGCTACGCATGGTCCAAGGAAAGGGATGCAAAATATTTTGTTATCATGTACATTGTTGCCCTCACTGCCATATTAATTGGAGCTAGAGTTATCTTTCAGAACACTCAAGCAAGCAGGGTTTACTAGAATAACTACAAGCCTTTAGATTGTTCACAAAGAAAAAGGAAATTTTAACCAGTAGTCAAAAGAACTAGGAGATAAGGAGGAAGGTCACAGTGAGAGATTAGACCCTACATTTAATTCAGTCTTTTTGCAATCTTTGCCAAGAGCCAAGGTGAACAGCATTTTGGTTCATGTTGAATATATATCTCCCACTATGTCTTGTCTCTCGTTCCCTATGTGGTCTTCTTAGATTCAGATTCTCAGATGATTCCTGTTTTTCTCCATGCCCCTTTATATCCTTTTGAGGACTGAAGGATTAAATATCATCATTAGCGCTGGGTGAGGCCATTAGTAAAAGCCAAGTCTGGGTTACGAATTTGAATGAATAAGAATTACTACATTTTATCAAGCCATCTTAAGGGCTCAATAAAATAGAACCAGCGGCTTCTATGTTAATAATGGATAAACACAATGTAGTAAATGTCTAGAATGGAAATACCATTCATCATTGGAGAAGGAACTACTACTGATGCTTGCTATAGTTTGCATGAATCTTGAATCCAGTATGTTGAGTGAAAGAAGCCACTCGCAAAAGAAGATACTGCATGATTTATGTGAAGTTCAACAACAGGCAAAACTAATCTATGGAGATATGGTATGTAGATCAGAGCAGTGGTTACCTGGGATCAGGGGATTAACTGGGAAGGAACATGAGGAAACTTTCTGGGTTGTTAGCAATGCTCTGTATCTTCATCTTTGAGGATATTGGTTACTCAGATGGGCATATTTGTCTAAATGTATCCAACCATATTCTTAAGACCTGTGAAATTTAAAAAAAAATCAATATGCTAGACTTCTACTTCTGAGTATGGGGGCTATATGAGACTTTTCTCTTTGAATTATGGGATGGTTCCGTGGAGGTCAATACAATGCGGTAAAAGTCTCAGAGTGTTCCATAAAAGGAACCCATGCTCTTCCACTGCTATCCCAGGCCCCAGAGCCAAAACATTAAATCGTAAATAATGGTGACCTGATGATACTCTTTGCTTCTATAGGATAAGGATTTGGCTTAGTACTGGTATTTGTAATCCCTGAAGAATTTCTGTGTCTTGGAAGAGTCTAGGGCTGTAATGAAACTATCACAATAAAAGTTTATTGACATTCAGATTTCAGTGTTACGAATACATGGGGGGTTGTAAATAACCTTACGAAGAATGTACTTTTATACACTGCAAGTTTATGGACACGTATTGGGATTGGAGTGTGCCAAACCGTTTCTTACCATGGCTATCTGACCAAATCTATAAAAGGCACTCAGACAGATAGTAACACTTGCCCTGGGCGTAATAAGTGCTGCATTGTGAGAAGTAATGGGCAGAGACACACAGATAGGGAAGACAGGCTTATGCTGTTGTGCGTTCTATAAGCTTCATAGATACATTGTTTGCCTGTGCTCTTCCCTGCTAAGGATTCCTTCTGTCAACCTGGAGGAATTGGGCAGAGGCCAAGTGCATCAGGTGTGCCCTGGTCCTCGGACGGGCTGATGAGACTCAAAGCAGGAACAGAAGCAGGAAAGAAGGAGCAAGTTTACCTGGGCTTATAAGGAGCAAGGGAGGTGATCAGTTCCTTATCTGTTTCTCTGCCCTTCTACTAATGGTATTACTGCTGCACTTTGCTGGTACTTTGTAGATACCAGGGCAGAAAGAACAACTGTGGAGGAAGCGCTGGTGTGGCTCCTGCTTCCTGCACCCACGCCCCTTGAAGGCTGTAGCCACCCAGCCACCCACCTATCCACTCAACAAGAATGCTGCTCTGTGCCCTGTGCTGTGCATCCAGGGCAAACGCTAACAGGAGCCCTGCCTTCATGGAGTTTGCAGGATTCATTTGTCCAGCTTCGATGCTTTCAATGACTCCCACCTTTGGTTCATTGTTTTATACTAACCCCAATATATTGAGGTTTTAAGTAGTGTGCAATCATTTCATTTAACAAATATGATTAATATGGGCAGCTTTTCATCGTTGGCCTTTATTTAACTAATATCTCGAACTAACCTTAAATAATGGGGAATTAACTCTCATTGGGAACAAGGAGAAGTTCTTTATGTTATTGGATGTTGTAAATACCAGTATTTGTATTCTATTTTTCAGGTGGTTCTAGGCCTGGTGTGATAAAGAAGCAACCCTGTGAAATCAAAGCAGTCAACATTTTTAGTTT